ACTAAAATAATAGTTCTGCTTTTATATCTTATAACTAAATATTTGCGCTTTGTTTTTGTTGGCAATTTTATTTCATTAATTCTAGTATTTTTCCTTTTGATTTGCATGAGTGTTGGTTGCACTACGAAACTTTCAATGCCTTACGAAATTGTCTTAAACTTTTCGCTCTATCAATTGCATACCAACATACAAACACACACACACACACACACACACACATAGTTATGCAGCTACTAAGTATCGGTGTGAAAATGTAAAATATCTACTAGATGAAAACAAATTTCAATATCGAAAAACGTAAATCGTTAAGTACACACACTTCCCCAGCCACCTTTGACTTCCGTTGATTTTCTTCGACTTCTTTAAAACTTAGCTCTCTTCCATCGCAAATGCCTTTAGCCGCATTTTACTTGTCTCTGACACCAACGCTAAGTAATCTTAAATTAATTAAAACTCTTTGATATTCGTAAAATGTTGTAGAAATTGCAATTTTTGGCTCTTTGTTGATTTATCGACAAAGATTTCCTATTCTGACATTTTCGTTTTGGTAGAGTAAATTACAGCAATCTTTTGAAATGAGCTGCGGCAAGCTTTTGGGTAGTAAAATATGTTGATTTAGGTGAATATTTTCTGAATTTTGGCATTTTGCAATTATATTGATAGAAAATTCTTGGAAAATGCAGAAAAGTATTGTATGGCAAGAAGAGAAGGCGGCTTAGATTTGAGGAAAATGAAATTTGCATATTAGTTGCGTGATTTGTAATTAATTTTCTGATATGAGAAATGTTATTTAAGATGCGAATTGAAAACCGTTAAGCGAAGCCAAACAAGGTGTTACCGCATATAATTACATAAATTAGTATTTATTTTTGAATGTCAAAGAAGTGATTTGCATGTGATAATGCTCAGGTTCAACCTTAGCCATGCTAACACATCTATTGGTTCCGTAAAAAAAAAAATGTTCCAAAAATTGTCAGGGACCGAACATAACAGTTATTTATGAAAACTGTTAAGAAAAATTCACTATGAAGGACATGTTCTTTAACTAAGTGATACATAGCCATCGATTAATTTTTTCATCGAGACTAAAATTTTAAAATAAATTTTTATTTAAAATTTTTAAGCAAAATTACAAAAATAACAATTATTTTTGATTATCTGCGTTGTCTTACTTCAAAATCTAATTTCGTTCTACGTACAAAATAAAGACAATTTAAAATCGATTTTTTTTTGGGAATCGAATAAAATCGACAAAACTTTGACTGTGATCAGCATTAACTAATCGAGTTTATGAATTAATATGAATGAGCTTCAATAATATGTCAAATTTATCAGATTTAATGATTAGATTTTGCCCAATTTTTGCGATTTTTAGCGATAGCAGGACCCCACAATTTTTTTTTTAAATTTACATTTTTTTAAGGACAACCCTAGTACTCATATTGAGTTTTGCAATACATATTAATCGCTCGTAAAAGCAATAATGAAGTAGTGCACTAACCCCAATTCATGCCAAATCTGCATACATAGTTCAATCGCTCCGCTTGTAGAAAAAATTTAAATCAATTCACAGCTAACTCAAAAAAGTCACGCAATTCGTAAGAGGAAAATATATTGTTATGTGTATGAAAAAAAAAAATAATACATAAATATTACACTTGACACCGAATTCTTAAGCATTTTATTTACATTAGTACTCTCATGAACAACTAATACATATGTACATGTGTACATTCCTCCAACTTATACGTGCAATAATTTATACATTTGTATGCACTTGATCGATATTTTTGAATGCATTCTCGTAAAACAAATTGGTTGCATCTGCATTATATTTATTGCACTATTGTTAGCAAATTCCCAAATGCACTTAAAAGCATATAATTGTGTACAAACATACACCTGTAACTACATATTTTCATCCCCACATTGTTGCATTACTATTCGCAATTAGTATTCTGACACAGTCATTTGTCTGGCTGTTGGCGTGCTTGTCTGTTAATTATTCCAATTGAAAATAATGCACATCGCCGTTTTGGAATGCTAGAGCTTTTTACTACTTGACAGCTTGCAATCATTTACATACATTCAAAATATTGCCGACAAAAATATAGATCATTCAACATCAATTAAAATGAGTGCACAGTCGGCAGGTTGACGGTGCTAAATTAATCAAGTGTGCGGCATAATATTTACTTTGCGGTGTGCGACAAATACATGGTTATTATAAAGAGTGGTAACGTACGCCTGTCATTAGATTAGCTAGTATTTGTTATTTAGATTTTACGTAATACTTCGTTATTTCTGCATCTTAGAAAAAAAGGAGTAGGATCTCAAATCTAACAAATAAAAAGTGTTTGGCAATTAGTAGGGATACAGATTTTTCTCCAAAGAAGATTAAAATTTTTAGGAAAAGTAACCTTATTATTCAGTTTTGGAAAATGGGTGTAGCACCCGCCCACTTATGACTATACCTGCTTCATCGATTTCTACCGAATCCGGCTCAATGATTTCATTAAGTCTAACTGAACATACATACTATCGAGGATGTTTGAATTAGGGGTAAAACCACCCCTGCTTTCCATGTTAGGAGAGTTTTCGGAAAGGTGAAAAAACTATATTTAATACGTATGCCGGATATTTAATGTTTGGCTTCGCCGGAACTTAGACTTTTTTGCCAGTTTTATAATTTTTTTTTTTAATGTATTTTTTTTGTTGCTTTACTTACACATTAAAGACTTTTTTTATTTTTTTAATTTTTCATTTGTTGTTTAATAGCTAGATTTTTTTGCTTATAAAAAAGTATTTTTTTTTTTGGAAATCATAATCTTTAAGAACTTGTTTTACTTTTTTCTTTTTTTAATTGTATTTGATTCTCAAAAAGAAGACATTTTATATATTTTTGCTTTTTTCAAAATTAAAGTTTTTAATTTATTTTTATTTAAGTTTTTAGATTTCATTATCTAAATGACGAAAAGAATAACGATAAGACCTTCTCGTTAGCATATGATTCAATTAATCTTTAAAAGGCAGAAGAGTATTGTGGAACAAGTTTTCGTCGTCCCTTGTCGAAATTTGGTTTGGAGACAAACCACCCTGCAGGAAATTGAATTAGTTTGAAAGTAATTTATAAACTACTTTATTTTCAATGATAACTATTTTTCCTGCAACGAACTCATTTATTTATTATGGCGATGTCCTAAGAAGCAGTTAATTGCCTTTTCCTGAATTTAATTTCACCTACTTTAAAATGAATTTGGCTTACACAACTTTAAAATCAGTATGTTCCGTTTGAACACGCTTTCGTTATGGACTTCACAGATGCATTTTCAGACTTCCAAGACACAAACTGTTTTTTTTTGAACAAAAAGAGTATACAAATTCGAAACATGTACTCATTTCATTTGTTTTAAAGTAGTCTTTCAATTAGTTGATTTAATAAAGAAATCACTTGTTTCCGTCAGGGCAGTTTCAGCGTTATGCTTTCTTCAGTGTAATTTTTCGTTATCAAACGAAACCGATTTGTCCAGAGATGACGGAAAATCGTTCCACAATACGCAAACGATCTTGAAAAGTGACACAACTTAAAATAACACGTTCGCCCGAAAATGCGAAAAACTATTTCTTAGCACATGCTAATCATATGGGCAAGGGGGACGTTACCTTAGGTTTTTTTCAACAATGTATAACAGAATTTTACTCCAGCTTTTGCTGAACGGTAAACAAAGGCTCTCAGTACATTATTAGTGTATACTTTCAAAAATGCCAAATTTTGAGTTGGTCACTTTTGAAGATCGTGTGCGAATACATCATACTGCTACTCTGTCGAAAACAGCAACAACGAAAATGTAAAAAAAAGAGATTTGTGTCTTTTGAAAGACTGTGATGAGTTTAAATTTTCCCTGTTAGCTATACTAAATGTCGTACACTTTTGCTCCTTTAGTGTGGCGAATTTTATTTTTGAACGCAAATCGAGATGGAAAGCTCGTGGGCCAAGCCAACTACGATCATAGTAAAGCTCTCACCTCTACCTCTAAGACCTTTCCTAAACATTTCGGAAATTGCAGGACGAAGTGCTTTGGAGAGTAGAGGATGTAATAGATGCTTTGGGTCGCAGTGCACTATCTATTTACATAAGTTATCAAACCCTCAATAAACTAAAAAATAACGACTAACAGATGAGTTGATTCAAAATTGTATATGATTGTTCTAAAAGAAAAGTTCGTGCCACAAAAGTTCATTAGTAGAATAAATACGCTGGTTGGGACTGGAAGAATCGTACTTTTAAGCTTGGAACTTTTCCGCACAATAAACGAATGAAATTGCAAATGTAATAAAAAATAATTGAACTCATAATTCAGGAAGTCAAAGTTGTTTTGTTTTGCAAAAAATTTGTTTTCTAAATATAAGATACATATGTATGTATGTATGTACGTTTCCGATAGCTTATGCAGTGTATTCGTACTCTGGCATCCGATTTCCTGTTGAATTGAAAAACTTTTCCAATCGACCAATGCTGCGCGTAAGAAATGAATCACGTAAACAAATACTAAACTTATAAACTCAAGCCAAGTACGGAAATACATACGACTATGTGTGTGTGTGTGTGCATTTGCATGCAGGTATTTGCGTATACTTTTCTTATGGCAACAAAACCTACATACATACATACATACAAGCTTACAGTCATACATTTATCTAGGCGCTTTACTACAACAAAGATCTGCAATCAATATTTCTTACATTTAAGACTCTTCTTAAGGACGTACAAACTCATAATTTTTTTCCTCAAAACTGCACATAGCTGTAGCTACATATATATGTGTAGATATACATAACTGTTCGTTTCTTGTTTCACGCTATTTTACTTTATTTAATGATTTTTATATATGTATGTATGTACCCGTATTCGTAAACACATAGTTGGTACAGTTACAGCTTACAGCCGTAATAAATGTACATAAATACTACATACATACTTAATAAATGTTTGTCGCCGGTCTGTTTACATTGCGCTTTACTGGCGGCATCTCTTTCTCCTCATTCTAGCACTCATCATCCGTGATCGTATAGCTGCCACGAAAATCGCTTAACGGTGTCGCATTTGCGGTTGATGGTGTCATCAATGGTGCACCTTGGAATGAAATGGCCAATGGCAGGGCGGAGGGTGCGCACAGACTTAATGCACCACGACCTTCGGTAACGGAGCGATAGCGTGACTGACGTCCAGAGCTGTATGTAGAAAGAAAGAGAAAGAGGGAGAGAGAGAGAGCGAGAGGAGATATGAAAAAAATGATATTAGTTCTTTTAAGTGCTACGCAGTAAAAATAGTTTCTTAAATAACGAAGTGAATAACTTTTTTTATGGCTTAATTTAATTTCTGTTGGAAATTTTGAGTTAGTGAAAAGTTACTGTTAATGGTTTGTTTTAGAGTTTGAAATCGTTTCATTTTTAGATGCCATAAAACTTTTGTTGCAAATAAATAAATTTTAGTGCAGTATGCAACGATGCCGCGTGCGACGCATAATGAAGCGTTTGTGGTCAAATTAACCCTTAAGTACTGTTGTTGGTCTCGCAGACCACAACACAATTTTTTGATTAAAATTAATATTTCGTTTACGCGCCAATAAATTTCATACCACGAATAGCTTTTATCGAATCTTTGTTCCCAGCTCTGGTTCAGCGCTGTTCAATAGTCAAGGATTTGAATACCTCGACCAGAAATTTTAATAAAAATGGGTGATGCTCCCAAGGATATCGAAACGCCCCAAGGCGCTGATTTTGCATCAGTTCACCGGAGTTCCAGGAACGTGCGTTCTTTAGAAAATGTGTGTCGCGATCTGATAAATAGCGCGAAGAGTCAGAATCTGCGCGTCAAGGACCCAGTACGCATGCCAACCAAAACTCGACGCATTACGACTCGTAAAGCTCCTTGTGGCGAAGGTTCAAAGACTTGGGATCGCTTCCAGATGAGAATCCACAAGCGTATCATCGATTTGCATTCACCTTCGGAGATTGTAAAGAAGATCACCTCAATTAACATTGAGGCTGGCGTAGAGGTAGAGGTTACCATTGCCAACTTGCCAACTAAACTGCAATGAGTTAATCAGCGTAGCGAGAAAACGTGTGCGGTTAAAAGAGCGGTAGTAATTGTAATTTATTTGCTCGTGCGTGGTCAGCATTGACGTAACTATTTTTCGATCATTTTTTATCATGTTGTGCCTGAGTGCGCAAAGATGCTGGCTGCAATTAGTTGCGGCCAAAAGTGATCAAGTTCAAATCTCACTATGCAGAACATATAATTTAAAATCTTAATTTTCGTTTTTTTTTTTTTTTTTATTATGAAAAAGTATCTGTGAAGTGCACAACGAAAAAAAGTGGTTCGGTTACAGGTTACATGTTACTACTACAAATACTAGTGAAAAGTTACGCAGCGGGAGTCAGTTGTCACCTCCTAGGACAACTCCATGTTAAATGCGACAGTAGAAAGCATGGCTGGTAGATTTGCAAGGTACCGGTATTCGACTCCCGAAAACTTGTGAACTCACTAGTTCTGTACTAGCATTTCCGCTGCAGGGTGGTGCCACGGGGCGTCTACGCTACACACACAACTACGAGTGAGTATATGAGCACGCGTTGCTATTTTGACTTTTTTAGTATATCTTTTTTAAGTTTTCATTTAAATACAGTTTCGCAGTGAAATCTTGTTCTGTATGCAAAACTGAAGATAATGCATTGTCTAAGGTAAGTGTGCCACCACCTGTAAAAACTCGTAAGATTTGCTCATATTAAGCTTTAGTTTAATGAATGGCCGCGCGAGCAATGTTCTCATAATTCGTTTATCTGCCACAATGTAATATTTGTAATTGGGATATTAAATCCAATTGTAAGCAAAGGGAATTTTCCATATTTTCTCATATTCATTATACACCTACATACTTATCCTTGATTTCACACGCACACATGCGCATAAAGATTAATCTTCCAACAAAAGAGATTGTTAATTAAATTTTAAATACGATTACCCAACATATAATTAACAAGCCCACAGCACATCGTGTGCCCACTTGCCCCACTAATTCACTTACCGTTCACAATTGCATTTGAGTAGACGAATGAAGGCCGCGCGAAATGTTCGATTGAAAATTGTATAAATGATGGGATTAATTGTTGATGAGACATAACCGAGCCAGAGGCAAGTATCCACCACATGTTCGGGCACTTGACATTCGGGGCAACCGGCAAAAATGATATTCAATATGAAAAATGGCGACCAACAGAGAACGAAGGTGAAGAAGACGAGACCGAGGACCTTAGTAGCTTTCTGCTCGGTCGCTACAGCATTAGCAGATAGACTATTGCGTTTGTTGCGATTATTCAGGAAACTGTAGGAAGAGAAAAATAAAAACAAACGAAAGCACAGGATAAAGCAAACCAAAGTGAATTATGGTAATGCAAGAAAATTAGTGTCAACTGGTTGCCGTTCAACGTCGCAGATTGTGCGTGACACAGTTGACACTACTCGGAGTCGACTATATGTACATATGTATGTATGTACATAAAGTGTGTGTCTTACTCACCGCAAATTCAATGTTGGCGTTGTGACATTGTTCAGCGAGAATTTGAATGATTTCAGTTTGTGGCGACGCGTTTCGCGCATTATGGATTCCGGCGTTTGGGTGCTTTGCTCACAAGTGCTGCCGTGCTGTTGTTGTTGTTGTAGTGGCAACAATGCGCTACTACTGCTATTGTTGTTAGCCGTACCACCACTGATACTGCTAATGACATCCTTTCGTAGGACACCGCCGCTCCCACTGCCAACAATCATGGCATTTCCAGCGGTACTGCCATTCGTTGTGTAACCGAGTTGCGGTTGGGAAGCGCTTACACGCACCGATGCGCGGCGATTGGGATGACTGCAAAGAGATAGAGCAAACGGAATTTGAATGTTAATAACAAGGAAGAAGATCACTAAAGAGGGGAAATTTTTTGATTTTGTAGTAGTTTTGAAGAAAGGAATTTACATTTTTTTCTTATGGTTACAGGCGGCAAGGAAATCTTAAATTGGTTAATTTTCACAAAGATCAATCTGTCCCTTGATTTCATGGTTGTGGCCATAATAAACTTTTAGCTCCGTTTATTTCAGCTAACACCGCCAATGTCCAAAATGGACATCGGAACAGGATCTGGCGTCTTCTCTTAGTAGTTATATCTGACAGACTCCTATAGGCTCCCAGATGACTGCAGTGTCCCCCAGGCTAAAATATCGACATGGCGTCTAAGCAGGTGAGCAAGATCGAACTAGCTCCATATAAATTTGCCTTCGTTGTTGACAGTCACGCTGCCATCAAATCCTTGGGGTCAGCAACAACTAACTCGATATGCGTCAAGGAATGTTGAAGATCCGTACAAGCTTTACAGAAACATATAATTAATTTTTACTGGGTCCCAGGCCATAGATCGTAAAATCTTCCGAGCGATTTCTGTCTTCAGAAGTTGAGAGAGTAACTAGGGCCGTCGCCGACAGTAGGTGGAAAATTCTGCACACCTGCAGGGTATCGCGCTCGCTCTGGCCATGGCTCAAATGAAGAAAACGTAGTTCAGTAAGGCTTTCAAAGCCGAACGTTAGGCTTCGCACCAAATATACTAACCGAACAGTGGACCCGCATAAGGTTTTTTCAAAAGCTTCAGAGGTGAGGAGGAGATAAAATCCGTCTCGCACTTCACCTGCGAGGGCCCAGCACTCCGAGGAAAAGGTTTTAAACATCTTGGGTACCACATCTTGGAGATGGTAGATACATATGTTAGGGAAAGTTTCACTTGAAGGGCTGTTAGGATTCGTCAGATAATCAAAATGGTTGAAAGATTATATATCTAGGCAAATGGATACCCCTTGGGTATCACAATGGGCATTTTCCGGGCCTCCGGGTGCACTCTTTACATAGCTGCCCTAACCCAACCTAAATCATTACATTCACAGGAAAGGGTCTCTTTGTTCAGGGATACACGGATGATATCATAAAATGGTGCTGTAAAAACGGGTTAAACTTAATATTTAAGTTAACTCTGGTGTTTTCATTTTTACAAAAGAAATCGCCTTTTGATTGACATTTTTTTCGTCTTCGATTATAACATATATAAAATCAAACCGGTAAACAAATTTCTGTATTCGTTTCTTAAAATCTCACACTCCATTAAGGCAAAAAAGGCACATGCAATGCCCCTTGAAGCATTGCCAGCATAGAGACGACCCTCTTAAAAATCTTTAAAAAATAGTTCAAATGTCAGATAATATTAGAGTCGTGGAAATTTAATGACAGAAAGAAGGATAAAGACGGAGCAGGGGAGAATCTAGCTAGGCACTCTTTCACCTTACAAGACGCGGTATAGGAATTTTTACAGCTTTTGTGTTTGGTCACTACAGGGTTATAAAACAATATCCAACCCAGGAGTTGTTCAATCTGTCCATTGCAAGTTGTGTCACGATCCTATTTATGTACATGAATGTAACCTAACTCCTTCGTTTGCCTCTGTTGCTGCTCATATGGCATTTGCCGGCGGTATAGGTGCTAATTAAAACGCGGTTAATTAGATTTCCGCGTTACTCACGCGCTTCTCCACTAAACAAGATATGTATATGTATTTACTGCTAACTCCTTCCTACATATTGCACTCCATAACATACATATATAAATATGCAGCTTGCACTTGTCCTTTTGTATATATTAGGGTGATCCACAAAAAAAAAACTTTAACTAAAGAATGTATGGCCCCGAAAGGACTTATTTACTCAGAACAAAATTCTCCCATTTCAAAACATTTTTATTCCAATTTTAAAAGTTGTCGGTGTGCACTGGGAAATTTCCATGTATATAAATAAATTTAAAACATTTTTTTTTCATTAAAAATGTTATAAATATTGAACCGTTTGAGGTAAAAGACTTAGTTCTCCTAATCGTCTTTCAGACAACCAAATTTAGTCTAATTTTTTGGAGAAATTTAGAGAGAGGAGCGAAAAAGTTCTCATTAAATAGGTCATTTTAAGGCCATAAATACGTTTGGTTAGGTTTTTTTGGATCATCCTAGTATACATATATGTGTGTAGAAATATTTCAACCGCTGGCAGTAGTTGTGGTCACGTCGCGCCACTGTCTGCTTAGCCGCCGCAAACTAATAAACTAAATAAATTTACTAGTTAATCTACAAAGTGCAATTGAATTACTTTCTCCAAGCGCAAAATGTTTGTAAAACTGCTAACTGGATTCTACAAAGATTAAAGTGATATTTGTAGCACAAGTGGTTTAGTTGGAAGCGCTGACATTTGATGTTGTATACTGAGCTTACATGTAACTACAACGCTTTCTCGCTTGCATACACAGATTTGTATGTATGTATTGTGTTGGTGAGAAAAATGCAAATGTAATTTATAGATAAAATAACTTAAACATCTGAAAGTAGAAAAAGTAGTTGTCTGAATTAAGGTATCCTTTGGTCTTTTGACTGGTTTGTTTTGAGTTGAAAGTCACAGCGGATATGCTAATTCATGTATACCTGTATGCACATTAAGGTGGTCCATAAACAGTAAAGTCGGAATTGTAATGCGGGGTGAGAGCATTCTACAACCCAAAATTAAGTTTACGTGTATCGGCGTTTTTTGTGTCATTTTAGCTTACCTACAGTGTAATGTAAGAAACCATTCAGATCTTATGACGTGGTGTTAAAATCTAAGACAAACATCTCCGACATCGATTAAGAAGTTTCACTTAAATATGCTTTAAAAAGGTTCACTCATACGCGCCGTACATATGGACATTAGGGTGGTCCAAAAATTCATGAGGGGAGAAAAAGTAAAGTCGGAATTGTAATGCTCTCACCCCTTAGGATTGTTCTAAAACTGGAAAACAGTATACCCCTATTTTTTATTTTGAAATCAAAAAATATTTAGAGGTCCCTCAAAGCGCTCAAAGTTTTTTATGAATTTTTATATGTGGAAAAAACAATTTTTCATAGATACCTATCTATATATCTATCATTTCCATGAATTTTATCCAGATCATTACCTTCATTATTTTCTTCGTGTACATAGTACATATTCACTCACACCTTTGCTATATATTAAGTATTTTAATTTACCTTCCTCTTTGTCTTTATGCTAAGGTTTATTTACTTTTATTTTAATCATTACCATTATCCCTTTCTTCTTCTACAAACTCTCTTTACCTTCTTCCTTGAATGAGTCGCAAATATTCATCTACAAACATACATAAATCTTATTCCTAATCTGCTGCATCGCATGTTTCTCTAATTCAGTATCAATATTAAAGCATACATTTAGGGGGGCATTTCCGCCCCAACCATGTACATGTATGGCATTTGTATTGGTGTAACTTTTGACTTGATTTGTTCGCTTTTTGTTAAACTAATTTGAAATTTGAAAAATTGTCTGCACATCAGCATCAAAATACCTTTCTAATGATATATAATTTATTATAATTTAGAAGTATAGTTTAGCCGTAAAAGGGGTGTAAAGAAAACATGTTTGCCTATTTATATAATTGATGATTATTAAGCTTCCATCTTCATTTAGTATCACTAGCTAACCGACGGCGTATGCGTAGCGCACAGATTAACCTAACCTTCATCTTAGTTTAAAAAAGTAATATAAGATGACAATTTTTCATTCTACGTCCATAGTTGTTGAGACGAAAAGGTTATGAAAACACAATAAATGTGAGGTCTTTGATATCTATTCAAGCAGGTGAACCATTTTATAAAAATGATTTTAACATTGTGACTACAGCACTTAAACACCCTTGAAGCGATCAACTCTCAGTTGCTGCTGGTTGCATTGTAAAAGCGAAAATAAACTGGTATAAAAAGAAAACAACCAACTCAGTTGCAGCACTTTCGAGGAAAAGCTAAAATTGCAAAATAACAAATCGTCAAAAAAAAACAACAACAACGAACTAGAACTACATATAAGTGCTTTCGCGGTTGGTTAACAGCCAGCCACAAAGGCGAAAGTTTTCCCACAAATAAAATGAAAGTGAAAGGAACAACGAGCAACAACACCATAATTGCGTAAGAGGGCAAGAAGTGTAGCAAGCAAAGCGTAAATCTCGAAGAAGACGCACAGAGCACCAGACTAAGCAGCGTGATAGAGTGAAGAGCAAGGAGCGGTAAAGTTAAAATAACACCGCACACTAGATTTTGAATTGTTTACAAAAATTTATTTGAGTTTACTTACAGGCCATGGGCCATGAGAAAGGAAGTGCCAAGGCGGGCGTCCAAATGAAAAAAAAAACAAATTTATGAGACCGACTTGGTTGGTTGGTTGGTTGGTTGGTCGGTCCAAAAGGCTTGAAAAGGCCAGAAGTGCACGCGTGCGAAAGTGGGTTTTTGCTGTTGTTGCGCTGCTTCAAAGTTGAGGGCAGAGTTAAATTTGAAGTGCACTGATGTTGCACCAACACTGGCTGTTGGAGAGTGGGAAGCGGGGAGTGAGTGGTCAGTCTTAAGTTATAAGCACCATGGCAAAGTAGTCGCAACAGCGGCGGCGACATCAACTCAACACATTCATAAATATACACGTTTATTTGATAAGGAAATGAGAAGTAGTTTTTCTGCAGCCACGCCTGAAAGCACTGAAAAGAGCAGCACTGCAGCAGTTCTTTGTTAGTGCGCGCGCACTCAAAACGTTGAGGTGGTGAGTTGTTGGGGAGGTCACACACAACACTGAAATAGTAGTTATTAATGTGAAAATTCACGTTTCTCATTACGGCTTTATACTAACTCAGCGTGGAATTGTGTGCTAGCGAGTGTGACTTTGTTTTATTCTCCAAAGATTAATTTAATGGCGCACTAGTCAGCCGTCAGCAGAGAATCGTTGAGTTTTATTAAGTTGTGAAGGTGATAGGTTATTTTAGTGTGTGTGAAGGGTACGAGGGAAGAGAAAATTTGTTTTTCTTATTAAATTTCTGGTTTGTAAGTTTGGATAAATATCGTCACGTTAATTTACAAACATACAGGAGTTACATAGGCCGCGTGTATTGAGACCGCGATCCAAAAATGAAATTAGACCGCGCGGGCATAATTTCAATGTATAAAGCCAAGTACGGACCTTTTAAGAAATTGGTCAAGAAATAAATTGCGATCATTTCGTGTGTGGGAAAAGTAGTGTCCAAGGAGTTTTTATTTATGACATAATGGAACGAGCATATATTTCTATTGAAAACAAGGGTACTTTGTACTCTTCACAAACAAACTTTAGCAAACCATACATAGTAGAAAGCATAGCAAATTTCTTAAGAGCTTCGTACTGCTTAAGAAAATTTGGCTCAATAATTTTTTCTTGACTATTTCTTTGGCGTTATTTTATTCGTCGAAATGTTTACAAATAATAACGTAAAAACAGATTTGGTTTTTATTAACCCGTAACTTCAATTGCAATTTTAAACCAATGGTTTGTCTCTACGGGAAGGCATTGGTGTTATTGAAAAGAGTAAAAACAATTTATCTCAAATGAAGAATAACGAATATTTAAAAAAATTAAAACGACCAGCGCAGATCTCTACTATTTGAGAATATCAAGCAACATTTGATTGTCCATTGTAATGTTTAAATCCTTGAAATAAACTGAATAAAAAACATTAAATTGTACACTAAATTCAGTGATTATCTAAGTTCAAAATGAGCTGAAGATTTATGACTTCAATGCTGAAATCGATGTATCTTCAACTGGCCATAACGCTGTAACTAAGCCCTGTTTTTTTTTGTTTTGGTCCAAAGAATACGTGTGCCAAATATTTGTACGCATTTCTGAATCCGCATTTCTCTTTCGGTGTTTGGCTAGAGCTACCCTCAAAAATTTTGCCAATTTAAGATTTTCGTCATTGAGTGAAGGAGTTCGAAATTTGTATATTTTCTATCGCTAGTTGAACTAAGCGAGTTCAGTTTGGAAGGGATTAACCCCTAGACCATTCCTTTTTTGCCCAATTTGCCAGGTCGTTAACTGTATATTCTAAAGTCTTAATGACCGGTGAGATGAGCTTTCCTACGACCAAAATTATTAAGCCATCTGCAAACGTAGCAACTGTATTAGCTTTAGCTAGAATCCAACCTTGAGCCGTAAATCGTGCGGCTGTTTTCTTTTCTTCTGGGATTCTCAAGGAGTCATTGGTGCTCTTGTAGATTGATCAGTGGATCCAGTTCAACAGAAACTTTGGAGGAGTGTGATCCGAAGTCTCGGAAGTCTCTTTATAATCTTGAGGAGAAACGAAAGCATACAGTGCTATGACCCGCTTTTTCCAGGTAACTGAAGCTTTTGAAAATGATTGAAAAAGTATAATTTTTCTAGCATCTTTTGTAGAAGAACCCTACCGTATGCAAGCCAGAGAATTCATTTTTTTTTCATAAATTACAAAGTCCTGGAAATTTAAAGAGAACCACTCCGTTCCGCTAGTTATTGCTTTGCTAGGCTGAAGTTGATAAGTCTGCAGCAATGCGCTAAACCTACCTCTGGTATTGCTACCTTTTTTTTTTGCAATTACAGTGATTATTCTGGCAAATGAGAACAAACCGCTTGTACGTGGTCATAATCGAGTGCATACACAGTGGTGAAAGCACGCTTGTTTGTATCTGCATATGTATGCACGCTCATTCACATACTTCCCCACTCGTATGCGCCTAAGTGTACATATTCGTACTTATTCGTCCTTGCAGTACTTGGGGCTCAGCTAAGTGTGTCAGTCCATTTGCACATAAAATCATGCGTTCTATTTAAAATGTTTGCACGACAATGAGTTATCAGCGTTAAGTCTATACGCATCCAAAATGGCTTGCTGGAAATAGCTTTGGAGCTGTAGAGTAATTAATATCCAAGTAAGATCCGGAGATTCGTTGAGTGGTGACGCCCAAGGAATTGTGGTAGAAAAACGATCCGTTCTCACAAAAAAGCTACTTAAGCGGCTTATGTTTCCCCAATCAACAAAAGCTAATCGACGGTGAAAGAGAACTGAAATCCAAGGTGTCCAACCCTAAAGTTGGCGAAAGCTCGGCAGGGTAATTGCAGATGTTAAAATGATTGCACCTCATAATGCTCTATATGACGGCTGCAATGGGAGTTTGAGGTGATGGGTTTAGTTTTGAAATGTGAATTCCGATTGGAAAATGGCCGGTAAGAAGGTAATTTGGCTAATCTCCTGTTGGAAGAACTTAGTTACCTTGCAGATCAAACTTTTCGCCCATTTATCCAGTAGCATTCTACGTATACTCACTTTCATGCCTACTTTTTTAGTTAGCTCATCTACCTGCGATATTGCTGTGATCTGGAAGACAAATAAGGTTGAAAGCTAAGTGATCTGATGCGATCGAGAGTGAACTCAGGCATCCTCCAAACGATTTTGAACAAATTATAAAATAGCCCTGACTTCCGCAAGTAATATATACTAACCTCTTTAAGAAGTTAATTTGCGGTTGATGGAGAAATCCTAGTGGAGCACACCTCCTCCTAGTATTCGATTCAACTTCAATCCATATGTGAGGTCGGAGTGAGCTCAAAGCTTGTTAGAATTCCAGAGGGCCAATAGCTGAAAGTGTACTTAGGCTAGGTACGACGGTTATGAATACGAAAATGATTACGACGAGAAATGCGAAAACGAAGATGAATACGAATTCGGTAAGAATACGGAAATAAACACGATGGAAAAAACCGATAAGAAGACGAATGCAAAGGCGAATACAGATTCCAAATCGAATACAAAGCCATACCTTAATGAGAATACAAAGGAAAAGACTATGACGTCTACTAAGATGAAGACGAATACGTATACTACGAAGAAAACGAAGACAAATACGAAGACGAACAAATCGGATTGGAAGAAAAACCACAAATACGAATACGTTGCCTATAACGGAGACGCAAATGAAGACGAATACGAAGGAAAATACGAAAAGGAAACATAAATATAAAGAAGAGTACTAAGACAAATACGAAAACCAAAATGACTACGAATTCGATGACGAATAAGAAGACAATTACGAATGAAAAGTGAAATGCAAAGGCGAAGGCGAATACGAAGACAAATACGAAGACATAGACTCAGGCCAATATTAGGATGAATAAAAATCTCTACAGCATGAAACGTTATAGACATTAATCGAAAGAAGTTTCAATGCCGTAGTTTGATTCAGGTGAACATGTTTCTATTAATCAAATAGAAATACTAAAAGAAGAGATATATGTATATATTCCACTCAACTACTTTCCATTACATTGAATATGAAAATAATATTCTTTTAAATGTTTTCATTACTTACAACGAAAAACTAATTTTTATCTTGACTGTTTCATTCTAAACATTTTTCATTAATACTCGTATCATAACTTTATGTTAGATAATAATTTTTCACAACGTTTTTTCTGTGTGTTTTATTAAAGTAGGTTAAAAAGAAAAATAAATAAAATCCGAAATAAAGTTGACATTATTTTCTTAAAAAAAATTTTTTCCACATAATTTTTTTCGTAAACAATCTTAAAAAATTATTTTTTTTCTAAAAGGATTTTTTCCTAAATAAAAGTAGGTTTCCTAAAATTTATATTGAAAAAAAAAATTCTCCAAAGAATCTTTGTGTCAAATTCTAAAATAATCTTTTCCTAATTTATATTGCTTTTAAATTACATTTTATCAATTAGAATTAAAAAAAATATTTTTTTTTAATTCGATAAAAAAATAATTGTTACTTTGACAAAAATAGCTACGTGTGTCACACTCTAAAAATAAAATATATATATTTATTTATATATATTTACTAAAAGCTCACATAATTTCCTTATGAGTGAAATAACTTTTGGGAATATGTTTTGCTTGGTTCGGAAAGGGTTAAAAAGGATGTTTACATTCATCACGTCCAGTCCATATCTATGTAGGTATGTTAAATGAAATATAACGAATTCAAAAACTCTTGGATGCAACTGCTTCCCTGCAGGGACGTCTTCATAAACGTGTCTGTGTAAACATATTTGGCCAAAGTTGGTTGGGTGTGTGTAAGAGTGCGTGCTTGCGCGAAAATTGCAGCAAGCTTTCCATGGCGATTGTAATAAACAATGGCGATGGCATGCAACAGTATGCAGTTACATATGTGTGAAGGCGCGTCGGTGGATGCATGCGGGGCTATGTGCGCGAGTACTATGTATTTATGTAGGGGTTTTTATGTACACAACTACAATTGCAGCAATGAAAGCTATTTTATGACTGTATTTGTTGGTAGAAGCACTTATATTTTTTTGTGGCTGGCTATTGTTGCGTTGTTGCACAAGTACACGGAGCGCAGATGTTTTGCACTTTGTTTGTTCAGTGCTGTTATTTGCCTTCACTTACTTTAGCAGCGATTGTCGGATTGTTGGTTACAATGTTTGTTGTCTGACGGCTATCATAGTGGCATGGATATATACATATGTGCAGATGAATATGCGTGGTTGTTGGAAAGTAAATATTTTTATGGCATGCCATTGCTTGAAATTTTATTGCATATTTAAATAATCATAAAGGCGTAATAGAGAGAATGTATATGATAATAGATGTACTCACATAGTGGTTTTTTATTGCAATATAAATATGTATGGCTTCAATTTTTAGAATAGATGGCGATGTAATAAAACAATATTGTAGTTTAAATGGGTATTATATATTTCTTAAAGCTTACTTCTGGTATACTAACACTTTTAGGGCCATTTTCTCAGGTGGTTTTTAAATTTCAACTACTCTTTAACCCCTTCAGGACCAAAGGGACTAATAGGGAAAATATTTTTAGAATGCGACACGGACTCTTAAGCTTTTTTCAAGAAATTTGAAAAAAAATTTTAAACACTTATTTCACCTTC